TTGGTCATTAAATTTTGCTTCAAAAAAGATGAAAAATAGCGTAATCGGTCGGAGTCACTTGACTTTTGCTACATGTCAAAAGTTATATATTTTTAAATTAATCGCTGAAAATGGGCTTATTGGTTCGAATTTCAAGAAAGTTCAAATCGAAAAGTTGTTTTTATTCCAATTTTACAAATGTCTCGAATTTGAACGTTCTATTGCAACCTTTAGGTCTTCATATTGTTTGTTACTTTGACAAATAACTGTCCAAAACTTTTATACGTGAATTAGATTGATGATATGTTGATTGATGACTTTTACATCATTTTAGTACTAAAAAAATCAATTTGAAAGAATGTCGCTTCTGAATGATACACGATACATCAACTTTGCATCAAACATAACAGAAATTTGAAGCGGGCATTATTATTTTTTGTTGAAAAACAATTTTTGTCGATAATTTCAGTGATTAAAAGTTATAATAGCATGATAAATCTACTATAGAATAAAGTAGTTTTGTTGGTGTTAACTTTTTCATTATCAAAAACATTCCGTAGAAATTGAAAATATATTTAAAACTATATAAATCTGAACACATAATTGTGTAGAATGTAATTTTTTTTTGAAATTCGAACTAATAAGCCAATTTTCAAGGATTAATTTGAAAAAATGTGATTATTCACGTGTAGCTGAAGTCACGTGATCCCTAGGCCATTTTCCATATTATTTGAAGCAAAATTTAACGCTTAAGTCGAATTCCGAAATGAATTATTATTGAAATTGTTTTCCATATGATGCCGACTTTATGAATGACACTGTAGATACTCACGGTTGCGATTGTGATTGCAATTGGCTCCTTTATGTGCCTCTTGTACTTTGGCTAACTTTCCCAAAGAATGGACAATTGATGGAGGAGCTCCTTTCGGGGGTTTCGGGGGCATCCCTTGGTTTGGAGGACCTTGGTTTTGAGGCTCACATTCTCCTCCGCTCTTTAAGAATTAAAAAACATCCTGTTTATTTTTATACGGTATACCGGTTGACCAATTATTTTCTATAGACCCATTTTAAACGTATCCATATCCGAAACAATTCGAACTATTGACTTGTAATTTCCCAGCGAGCACAAAAACATCTCAGAGATGTTAAAAGTACGAGATTTCGAGACATTGAACCTCCACTGCGATGTTCTGTTCACACATGAATAGAACTATTAGAGAACAGTCAATGTCTGCCGCAGGCGGCAATTATCGAGATGTCCTTGATATGTCACAAAACTACCTTCTCCCTAGTTCTTTTTAAAGCCTTTTCATGGACACAACAGGACATTTTCAACGCATCTTGCGCACATTAAATCGCTGTAAAAAAAACATTTTCGAGGTACTTTTCTGAAGCTTTTTGTCAAAATGAACTGTTGCATTAGGATTCCATTTCCCTTGAATGAAAAAATGCATTAAAAATAGATTGAACATAAAAATATTTCATGATATGAAATTACCTTCTTAATCGGTTTCTGAGAAGTGCTAACTACACACAGACATATAATTGGAAATAGGTTTCCCAATTCTTGAAATGTTCTCCACAATGCATAATTTTGCAACTGCGGAGAAGCTGTGTATTGATAAATTCGTACTTTTATTTATTGATTACACTGAGGCACCGAACAACACATCTTGCATCTGATGGTCATTATTACAAACTAAATAAGTCATCTAACACAATAAACTTCACCAAATTCCTTTCTGTTCGTTAGCAGCGTGATGTAAGCGTGACATGCTGCAAACGCGAATGCCAATTGCGAACAAGAAGAACAAAATCGAAAACAAATCAGAATTCATCGTATTGTGACGTAAGCATGAGGCGTTGTGGTGGGGCAAACAAAGAAAGGGCACAAAAGAACAAAAACAATACTTTTAATATCCTTCTAAGACCTCTTTGGGAAGTGCATATTACACCTTAAAAAAACATCCTCATGCCTACATTTCTAGAATCCCAAAACATCCCAGGGATATCTCTCAGTAGGCAAACAAAGAAATGCCACAGAAGAACAGAAACAATACTTCAATATCCTTCAAAGACCTCTTTGGTCAGTGCATATTACGTCTCAAAATAACATCTTCATGCCAACATTTTCAAAACATCCCCAAACATCCCAGGGATGTTTGTGCTCGCTGGTTTGCATTTTATGAAAACATAAAAAAATACATCCGTTACTTGGAAATTAACAAAATAGACTAATAATTTTAAACCGCATGTCAATATCGTGAATAATTTTGGACATAATATGAGGATAACAAATAATCAAAATTTTTTGGAAAAGCAGAAAGTATTAATGTTCTAGATACCCAAAAACCATACGGAATATTCTATTATAAAAAACGAAACTTCAGGATATATCTCAATGATGACAACTCATTTTGAAAATATGACTACCACTGAATCTACGTAAAAACGTATAAGAGACCGATTTTCGAAAGATAGCTGAGATACAGCAAGGAAGGTCCCAAGATGTATGATTGATTGATTCATTGAATAAGCGAGATATGCCCTATATCCCGTATAAGGATATCAAAAATAGGACACTCAGTACATAATCACTCCAAAATGATATAGAGAGGTACTTTACGCGTAGTCAAGGAAATATAAACGCATATTATAAATTAAATATCCTTTGGTTTATATGGTTTCCTAAAAAACTTCAATATTAGGTTTTGCTGTTGAAAACTTTCACTGCAAAAGCAGAAGCAAAAAATATGTGGCAACGATAAATTCAACTAAACAAATAACAATTTTAAAATTCCCCAACTTGATAATTAAAAAAATACCTATTATTTTGAAATTATTTGAAAGCTATCAAGAAATGAGATAATATATAAATAATATTCATAAACTTTTGTAATAATCAATTGAGTATTTTGGAATTCTTACCAGGAGAGTCAAAGCAAGCATGACGACAAATCCAAAAATTACTAGCTTCATTTTAAACTGGAGTTCAACGTGAATTTAATGCGGAAATGAAAAATGACTCCCTTTATATATTTTATTTTTATGAAAATATAATTATTTTAGTTATGTAATAAAAAAACATTTCCGGTTCTCTTTATCAAACTCTGATCCTACATTCATATGAAATTGATGGTATGACCTTAAAATTAGAAGCCTAATCAAAAATTATAACGTAACTATAGGCAGAAGTTCGTACTGAACTGAAAATCGTTGGTTTGGAAAATCGGTTCTTTATGAACAAGTTATATATAGACACACTTTTCCACGAATCTCTGGGATAATCTAGCTATATTTCGCCGTCCGTAATACACATTACCGGCGATTAAATTATCGACTTAGAAGTGCTAGAGTCCGACCACGTTAACTTTGGGACAGCATGTGACGCAACGCATATGCATATTCAATGCATACGCGACCACGTGCTGTCCCAAAGTTATCGTGGTCGGACACAAATTTCAATGCACCATTGATGGGACCGCTCAGCCACCAACGTATATGCGCTTGCAAATCCTTATCAAGGAGGACGAGTTTTTCGAGCACTTTCCAAGTATCTGACCGAGAATTACAATCCACAAATGCGCACAGTTTGTATTACATATTACACATAGAGCAAATTTCAGACGAATTTATAGTGTTAGTAGCTCCATTCAACGAAATCTTAATTTGTGCCATTTGTGATACGAATCGGAAGTTTGAATTGAAGATTCATGTCACCAACCATCGGAATCCGCGGAGCATTTATTTCTTCATTGTCTTCTGTACAAAAATCTCCACCAGAATGAACTGATGGCTAGTATTCATGACATTCACACATTCATCCACTTCCTAGACAAAATTACACCAGACAGGGCCAAAGCCCTTTAATGATTATGTTACATGCATATGCCAGTAAAGGTCTTCCGTCCTAAACGAATAATACCTACATTGCATCTCTATAGCCTTCATTTTCCAGTGTGATATCTAAATAATTTGTAGTAGTTTGATTTTTGAATCGCCTTACCATAATGTAGTATATTTATTGAGTGAAGAATTTATTAGGTTCAAGAAATAATCATCAATTAAGTTTATATTCATCCAAACCTCTTCCTACTAGAATATTTTGTTAGCATCTAGCAACTAGATGCGCTACTGCTCAGTGGAATGTGCTTAGATCAGAGCCTATGACAGACGTGTGTGAAGACTGGTTCATATAGTAATTGGCAAGCAGCCGAGTTGTGAGCAAGTGTAACCCTTGTCCATGTCATTTATGCTCGTGTTTATTGAATTGTGATCATAATATAACAGTAGCTATAAAAGGAATAAAGATTTCATTGCATTCATTCATTGCATTCATTCATTCATTCATTCATTCATTCATCCATTCATTCATCCATTCATTCATTCATTCATTCATTCATTCATTCATTCATTCATTCATTCATTCATTCATTCATTCATTCATTCATTCATTCATTCATTCATTCATTCATTCATTCATTCATTCATTCATTCATTCATTCATTCATTCATTCATTCATTCATTCATTCATTCATTCATTCATTCATTCATTCATTCATTCATTCATTCATTCATTCATTCATTCATTCATTCATTCATTCATTCATTCATTCATTCATTCATTCATTCATTCATTCATTCATTCATTCATTCATTCATTCATTCATTCATTCATTCATTCATTCATTCATTCATTCATTCATTCATTCATTCATTCATTCATTCATTCATTCATTCATTCATTCATTCATTCATTCATTCATTCATTCATTCATTCAAGACAAAGGCCAGGTTAGGTTAGGCTTTGTATCTCTCGGGCTCCGCGCACGAGCTACAAATCGCACTAAAAAAAACTTGCATTTCTGTCCCTTGGTATATAATGTACTTTAATTTCTTGAACTGCCTCCACATGCATCAAGGCATAGTCTTACTTTCCTATCCTGAAACACCCTGTATGTTGTTATCGCCTTTTGATGCATTATTTTCAAGGTCGACGAGGATATAGAATGCTTCAAATATTTGAGGTATCGAATATTATTTCTTCATTCAACCTGTTTTTAACCCACGGCACCATGCCCAGCTTCAAATGTCTAGTGACCAGTCTAGTTCAGTAATAGTGGATGCACCTCCAACAAGACTAAAAGTGGCGCAATTATATATTAGTTATATATGTAGACCTGAATGACGATCTCAAGTCTCAATCAAAATTGAACTTTGTACCCGCGAAACATTATTGTCATTGCAATCTGTTATTACAAGTGCACCGAAAGGTCTAACTTATCGCGCTTTAATCGGCCTCTTGATCTGTCGGTAAGTAAACCATAAAATAATTGTCATTGAGTTTAGATTTTATATCTCAAAATGACATACTGAATGTACCAGATTACAGTGTTTCACCTATATCAATAGTTATTTATTACCGTAAAACGTGGTTACTATGCCAGAAATATCGTTTTTTTGCGAATAATTATTGAACGGTAAATGATATGTATTCGCCAAAGTATGTTCAATTTTAGCTCTTTCTTTATGCGACCAATAGATTTGATCTGAAGTAAGTTTGTAGAGAGTATTTTATTTTCGAATTTTGAAATTGGCAAAGTATCCACACAACTTGTTGTTACTTTGCCATGTGATGTGAAGTAAATATAAAAATTCATTTTTGGCGAAGTAAATTCTTCAGATGAAAAACTTTGCCATCTATCCATGGGCATAGATTAACGACTCCCCTAATCTATGCCATGGGTATATAACAGGGGCTTCAAAACCAGAAAAAAATGAACACAAAATATTGGTAAAAATGTGATTCAATTTATTTTACATGCGATGAACCTCATATGTAGTCTCCATCTTCAACAAAACTCATAAAGAATTCAATACCTCATAAAAACATAAAAACGAGTTCTCGAGTTGAAAATAAAACAGAATATTAAAAAAATAAAATCAGTGGAACTTGGAGGAGTGAAGGGGCACCCATATTCAGCACACAGGCAAAGATGAGGTCCACAAGCTCCATCTCATCAATTCACTCAGCTCAGTTGGTGCACTATATTTACCAGTATGATGACGTTGATGAACATGTTATCTAAGGTTCTGCGTTGTATCCCTGGTGTATTGAATATTTTTGACACTCTGTACATGAATGAATGACTTTTTTATGCCATTAGCAGTATGTTCTAATGTTTCAGGAGTGTATTCACATAGTAACGACTCCTTAGTACTTTCTGTACTTCCTAGACAGGTTACGGACCTGCAAATCATGACATTGAAATATCACTATGAATGGTTTTATACAAAGAGATATAATAAATTTGATATAATCATGTGTCCTAATTTGCTTCGTTTTCGAAAAAAATGATGTTGCAGTTCTAAATATTAATTGTTATTTTATATGACTCCCCTGCATGGTGTTTCATGGTGGCAAAATTCAGTCGGGTTGGTGACTTATTGAGGTTATTGAGTAATATTAATTGGTGTCTTGAGAGCACTTAGGTTATTATACTTGCATTAAAACTTGGAAACAAATCGAATGTTCATTATTGTTTCGTCAGAAACTGAAAGATATACAAGAGAAATGATACAAGATAGTTGTATTTTCAATTCTTCATCTAATAAAAATATTGAACTTGAAAAAACCAGTGACGTACAATGATATTTACCATGAATACCGATAAGGTAGCAATTTGCGAACGTAAATCATCATTTTGGTAGATTTTTTCCTTCGATCCATAAAAAATCCATATAAAAGGGCTATCTAACTTTCCAAATTCATTGCAATTCATCCGAATACGGGATAAGATGAATCGTGAATCAAGCACAATTCATTCCATCCATATTCCATTTCAAACAAAAATATTCATTGAAAAAGTGCCGGATATGATAATATTTGAAATCACATACCAATATCCATTCGATTAGATGTCTATTAAAGTGTTCTCGTATTGTAATCTTCAACCCTCTATTAGCATCTAGAAAAGTTCTCCATCCAGAAAAATGTCAGAAAAAATAATATAAATATAGAAAAAACTACAGGATGTTATTTTCCATGCACAAACCTTATTCAACTAGTGATCTGCTAGAAACTAATCAGTTCTGGACCCACCCCTGGTACCTACACACATATATTATGGAAGCTGTTTATACTTTATTTTTTATGGTATACAGGCTGATTCACGGTGAAAGACACATTAGACGTTTCTGGAGGACGTTACTTGGGATTATTCTGAAAATTTGTTGCCTTGGATGATCAGTTGTACTCTACCGTTCTAAAATATTCGCATCAGCGCTGCGACGTTGCCGCAACAACTTTGATTTTTTGAATGGGACACCCTGTATATTATTCCATTGTCAGATCCTTCCTGAAGAGCTGATTTCATTGACTCATAACAGTTGGGGTCTAGCAGTGACAATTACAGAGATAAAGGGGGTGAAGAATCGAGATTTTTCAAGTTTGAGATTTTTTTGTGTCGAAACTATTCATAATTCATAATTAGCCAAAACGGTTTTCATGCCCCCATCTCAACTTTCCATGTACTATCAATTGATATTTAATTGAAATAGGTACAAGGTGGTTCGGAATTAAGATTTTCAACCACCCTGTATCTTTTTCAATTAAATATCAATTGATAGTACATGGAAAGTTGAGATGGGGGCATGAAAACTGTTTTGGCTAATTATGAATAGTTTCGATACAAGAAATTCTTGAAGTTGAAAAATCTCGATTTTTCACACCTTATATCTTTGTTATCATTTACGATAGACCCTAAGTGTAATAGATCGATGAAATCAGCTCTTTAGGAAGTATCTGAAAATAGAATATTATATAGGGTGTCCCATAAAAAGCATCAAAGATGTTGCTACTTTTCAATATAAGCGGCAACGTCGCTGTGTTGAGAATATTTCAGGTGGATCGAACACAACTAATTATCCAAGACACCAAATTTTCTAACGTCTAATGTGCCATCCACAGTGAATCAGTATGTATACCTATCCATATTTTCAACTATTACATCTGAACATTTCAGCTCTTAATTCAAATACAGCTGTAAAGTAAAATGCCCCTCACTGAAATAGATGTAGAACATCTTTATGAGAAGGATATTGACTTGAAGAAAGAAGATGTGTGCAATTTATTAAAATGGAAAGAAAAGCAACTTCATCTACCCGTAGTTACCGGTCAGTGTACAATCAACCAATCTAATATCAAAACTAAGCCAAACTGTAATAAACCTATACAAACCTATAGCTATACCTATCTGAATATTCAAATATTTTCAATTAATCCATTCTGATATTTCATGTACTTCCAGAGTTACAATTGGCTCTATTTCTTCACAGTTGCCATTACAGTACTGAAAAAGCAAAACGAACTATAGATATGTATTTCACCATAAAAACAATGAGCCCCCAAATTTTTGGAAATAGATTACCAAGCAATCCAATGGTACAAGCAGCTATAAACTGTGTGTAAGTGCTTTTTTGAGCTCAATAATTTCCTAGTAGATTGACTATGGAGGTTCAGCACTAATCTATAAACAACAAATAGAATGACAGTGCTAGTTCTCAGTTTTACCCTTGATTATACAGGGTGAGTAAGTTTTTTTAGCACTACTTCAACAGTCTGAAGAAGATACTATTTCAAGATAAAAATTTGCGACCATCAAATGAGGCCAAAATAATATGTCTTCTGCAATTCATTTTTTAGTGGTCTAAAACCAATTAGACCATTTTCAATTCCCGACCACTGTGGTCGAAAACCAGTTTGTACTAAATATTGGTTCCCGACCATATCATATCTGATTATCTCTCTTATGTCTAAGAATGAAATATTTTCACATTGAAATATTTACCATATTTCACCATGAAGTACCTATTGCAGCTGCACAGATTCATTAATTTGATTTATGTTGATTATAATGTTCTTAGCTCTTTTAGGAATCGAAAACAATGACAGGGGCAATGACCATTAGTTTCCTATATATAATAAATATGTTTAAAAATAAGTATTTTATTAGTTCTTTAGATTTTAGGAGTCTGTCTGAGTCTCGGTCTGAGTATGAAATGATTTTTGCATTATAATCTTTCAATTTCAATAATTTCATTTCCTTGTGGATCAATCTGATGGACGATGGTCTAGCTAGAGTCAACATTAAAATGGTCGTGAACTCTCGGGGTGGTCAAGACCCAGTGAAATTGAAGATTTCTCCTATTTCTCAAGATTTCAAAAGTTGGATGCAAAAAAACGCTGGAAACATATTCACAAATAACTCTCAAGTTATCAAGGAATCGCTATACACTAGCTCCAATACAATATTATAAGCTTTTAAATAAATACAAAAAGCTCAGAGTCATATCCACACAATGTTCATAAAATGAAAAACAATGGTAGTTTTCTGGAGAAAAACTACTTTGCATTACATCCTCTCGAAATCTATGCATCGACTCGTATAAACGAATACTGATACAAGTGGTTCTTTCCAGAATGCCTATTGATTTCGATTTAGCCAGGCCACGCTAGACACCTACAGATCGGTTTCGAGCACTTTGACTCATCAGTGCAGGACAGTCTCCAGCCAGCAGTCCTAAGACCGCCGACTAAGCGTTGCCAAGACAAACAAAAATCAGATCGGCATTAAATTCCCCCAATGGGCGTGTAAACCTTAGTAGAACTTACATACATAAATAATGATTGACGACATAATTCGATCGAAAAATTAACTGGAATGATTTATTTTTGGACATAAATAATAGTACCTTCTGAAAACGGACCCTTTTATGACGTAGAAACCTCATCTCACCATAGTTAAAAGAAAATACCAAACGCCCGACGGAGACTGAGGCATTTGATATATTGATTCTTTCAACTGTGATCTCGCACTAATTCAATCTGTCAGAAATCATGTATCATTCATCTCTGTCTGGAATAGTCTCGTTTCAGTATTAGGGTTTTGACGTCACATCATCGCCTCGTTTTCAGAGGTCCGAATAATCGGGGATTTCAATAATTTTTTTCTGAAATGTAGGGAGCTCACAGCAAGAAACGGTTTGCGGTAGTGAGCTGTGTTTGGGTGAGTTCTATCGACTTATGAAATAACAATTTTTTGTGATATAAGCCCATTACAAAAATCACAAAGTCATATCCACACAATGTTCATAAAATGAACAACAATTGTAGGTTTCGGGAGGAAAGCAACTACTTTCCTGGCTGATGCCACGAATTTTCCACTCTCAAAGTTGAGATTTCGGTTAACTGGCTGAGAACCAGTGCATTTACCCTATTGTCCTTCAGTGGCGGCTCCTCAGAGGAGGCAACGGAGGCTAGAGATTTTCCTTAAAGTAATATTATTTATACTTTCTCATTAAAAGGACACCAAAATACATGGATTTTGATTTTATTTCCTGTTTTTAGTTAAATATTTTTGAATTGGCAACAGTGTTTGCCCACGCATCACACGTTGAAGTCTGCAAATCACGCGTAAAATATTCAACTTGGCAACATCTATAGGAGGCTAGACTCCTTCACATAGCGCAACCTACGCGCGCAATGCAAATGCTTGAATAGGAGAATTGCGGACACACGCGAGTGCATTGTTTATGTTTATGTTAGGTTAATGGTTAGGGGCTCTATAAATTTCTGAAAAATGAGTGTTTTAAACGATTGCGATTTAGTGGAATACTTTTTGGTGAACCCATTCAGTGCTTTGTCTTATGAAGATAATTGAATTGTGAAAAACAAACTTCGGACACCGGAATTAAAAAATCTGATTGTAACAAAATCGTTTGTTCAATTCTGATAATTATAAAAAATATATCTGGTTGACGGGATCTGAGGTAAGGAATAAGCTATTTTGTTGCTTTGTTGGTACTGCGTATTATTTTCAACCGATGAGTCATCATGTTGGGGGCGATTAGGATATCATGATTTGAAAAATTTGCCTTGCGGATTGGATAGACACTGCGAATCACAGGAACACATCTCTTCAAGTATTAAGTTCAGGTTAACTGGTAAACAGAATGTCATTAAAGCTATGGATTTGGGTGAGTAGAGAGTTGTTTTTCACAATTAGGTAATCTCATATCATTCAGCCTCCTCTGTCATGAAAGTCAGGAGCCGCCACTGTTGTTCTTCTATTTGTTGTTAATGGGTCGGTGGTGTTGAAAGATGACTGGATGAGCTTGAGATGGTCTCGCCTGAATTTTTATATATTTCGTCTCTTATTTTTTTTTAGATTGTTCATTCCTCTTCCAGATCTAACTCCCGAAGGTGATTTAATACTTTTTGTGAAAATGATGGACACCGATCCGGAAAACTACCATTATGGAACTCAAATCAATTGTTTCGATATGATAACTCTTCTTCATTTGCATCAACATGGACCGGCCAAAGGCGTTATCATCGTTTTTGATATGAAAGGATTCGCCTTCGGACATTTTCTGAAAGTCAATGTGGCTTATATGAAAACCTTCTTGTATTATCTTCAGGTATTAATTTTATTCAATAAACACGTATATACAGGAACAGGGTGGCTGGAATTCTAACAAAATGCCATTTTAATACTTCAAAAATTCCGAATACTTTTTGAGATATATGAAAGAACCGAAATTTCCTAAGACCCTTTTTTTTTTCTTTCAAGTTATTTCAAGGAATTAATGACACTTTATCATGGCCACTTTCTCATCTCTACAAGTTGGTGTTTTCAAATTTGAAATCCGACGTTTCGTCTTCCAGAAACCATCATTAATTAACTCTTTTTCAATACGGATCTGGATTTTTCATTTAATTTCTTCAAATTTTTGGATATCCCAAAAGCTATCATGAGATTATTATTCTCGAATGTTTCCTTTACAAAAATTGACATTTTATTTTTTTCAATATTCAATACACGAAACTATCAATTTTTGTAAACGAAACATTCGAAAATAAAAATTTGTGATTGCTCATAGCTTCTGGGATATTCAAAAGTGAGGGTGTCTGGAAGACAAAACGTCGGATTTCAGATTTGAAAACACCAAGTTGTAGGAAAGAAAGAAGAAAAAAAGAAAAAAAATCTTCAAATAATAAATTTTGTAATCGGATTTTCACAAGATTCAAATCGGCATTTTCTTTTGCGCAACTTTTCCATAATTCAATTGACCCTGTTTCTTTCACATTTACGCAATCACAATGATGAGGCTCGAATTTTATAGCCAACCTATACAGGGGGTGATCTTTTGATTTACCTAATAGTTTGCGATGAATTTCCCAGTGGTCTGCCTCCACAAGTTTGAATAGATAGATAGCTAGATAGATAATTTATTTAACCATGTTATATTATATACATGTATGGCAGGTCCTTTCTGCAAATACCAATAAAGTTAACTCTAATGTAAATATATGTTATATATATAAAAACAAAAGATAAGATAAAAAAAACAGCAAAACGTGGGAAAAAAAGAGTAATCCACAAGATGATAGCTATAAAATATCCTATCAACATATACATAAGTTATCACAAACACATACCCACAAAAAATATACATTGAAATACATTCACAATGAAGGTGAGTATGTTGCATAGTTTCACAATTCATGTATTCTTTGATAGAGTAATAGAAGTGTGATTTGAGGATTGATTTCACTCGATTCTTGAGAAGGTGTGAGTTTATTGTTTTTATTGAATCAGGAAGTTTGTTGTGAAGTTGTAAATTGTGTGAGTTTTATATAGAAACTATGTAAACTTCCTCGTTCTAGATCACAATAACGAACCGATTTAGGCCATAATATGCGTTCATGGAATTGGATAATAGTACGTTGAGTTCCGATTTTTGAAGTATTTATAATTGAAATCTGATCACCCTGTATAGTATCTTGCACGGATCAGGTCAATCCTCAAAATTTGTGAAGAATGAATATGGAGTTTTTTTCAAATTATTTTATGGGTAGTGTAAAGTCAGTTCTTTCAGGAGGGAATGCCGATAAGATTCAAAAGCATACAATTTTTCAACATTGTGCCATTCATGGATAAAGTATTAGCTTTGATGAAACCATTCATGGAAAGAGAAGTTGCAGAGTCGGTAAAAATAATTCTACATTGACGAATTAGGAATTATCTACTATTCTGAATTTCAGTTGGTGATGCATACGAAAATTGAATCTCTGTATAAATACGTTCCTCAGAAAATTTTACCAGAAGAATATGGTGGATCTTCTGACACCTTGGAAATTTTACATGGTTAGTACATAAATAGATAGATACTATTATAGAAGGTAGATAGATAGTTTTTTTGGCTATATCATCATATACATCATTTGCGTCTCAAATTTTGAAAACAATAACACATCACCATTACACAAGAACGGACATAGAAATATACATACCTGATAAAAGTTTGGAAAAAAAATTTAATGAACAATTGGTGAGTATGTTCATGAAGGAAAAAGGTCGCACCTGAAATAATTTCAACGTATTCATCGTTAGAATAATAGTAATTTATGTATCAAGGGCGTAGACCATGAAAGCAAGTGCCTCCCGAAATACATACTTACAACAATTTATGCACGACCGTTTTAGACATTTATTTACTGTCAATATGGAATTTATTGATGATTTTGAATTCATTTGGCCAAATTATTTATGCCACTGACCGCTCGATCCCCTACTTTACCTTCCGCTGGACTATACATTACCGCCCGCTCTACTCCTTTATATCCCTAGGGCGATAAAGTGTCACTTTATGCCCGGTAGTGCATAAAATCTATTATTTGACAGTTACGATTTGATTGTTCGTTTGAACCCATTCATCCTTTTAATATTCTAACATGATGTGGCATTGCATTATGTAGATTGAAATTTAGATTTTGTGAAATAGGAACCCTATAGCCATAGCCTATATCTATAGGGATTCTGATATTATCATTATTTCTAGTGCTATGATAGTGAGATTAGATGATATTCTAAGGATTTCAAGAGGTGAATTGTGAATATTTAAAGACGGAAGAGTCATAATTTCGAATTGAGAGTGAATAAGGTCTACAGGTATCTATATCCTGCATTTCCCAATAATTTTCTCATTACTTTTTTTGTTGAATAAAAACAACACTTGCAGCTGAGGAATAACCACACAGTATAATTGCGTAACCCATAGGAGAGTGGAAAAGTGAGCAAGTCTCAAAATTTGAAATATGTCTGGGCTGACGTAAAAAAAAACAATGCACTTGACAATGTATGCTTCCAATGTTCCATAATCCATACACCGAATCTATGCACCGAGTAATATTACCTCCTGTTTTTTTGACCATGCTGACAATTACGGAAGAAAAGCCTCTGAGAAATGTTATTATTCAGTTTTAGATTGTGGGCACTGAACCATGTTTCAACCTTTCCGTCAATTTCTTTAGGCCGATCTAATAAACTATAGTACCTATATAGTCTGGACTCGAACATATGAATGACGTGTCGTCAGCAAAAAGAATAAATTCAATGGGGGCCATGAAATTACTCAACTCATTGACATGAATAATGACAAGAGGTGGCCCCAAGACAGATCCTTGAAGTACACCATGATTCATTTCTTCAAAATCAGATATATCATTATTGGAATGAACAGTCTGGAATATTTTTTTGAGATAAGATCCAAAAAGGGATTGTCACCGGTACATAATATATATTTCATTCATATGTGTATAGGTTATCTGAAGTCTTTAGGTCACTCCCTCATCATCTTCCAAATCTAGGTACAGGGTGGGCAAAATTGGGCGTTTTCACCGTCCATCTCAATAACTAGAGGAGTTATCGAAAAACCGATATACATGTTCCGGGTTCGATTTTGGAGAAACCTGGAATGGTACAATCAAAATTTCGATATCTTCATTCGTTCCAGAGATACAGGGGGAAATTGAAAATTTGCCGATTTCGATTTTATTTTCTGACTACTTTACGGTGAGAGGTATCAAAAAATTTCAAACGTATATTTATACAGTATGATGCGTGGAATCCATTGGCATCATCAGAAATTTTATACAGGGTGACGTTGAGAAAATACGACAGCCAATTATGTTTTTTCTCATGGAACACCCCGTATATTTTGGCACAGTTGAATAGTCCCAGGCGTTCTCATTACAAATATATATATAACCTTACCTTTTCCTTCCACAATTTCAGATATATTCGCAAAAATATATTCAGTGCGTCACATTTCTTATGGTTACACCCCCGTATCTTCTGTAAGAATAATTGATGGAAACATTAACAATCATAATATTTTGTGGCAGAATGCCTGAATATGATACTTTACCCATTATTTCTAGTATGCCTTAATATTTTTGCGTTCAAAGAGATAATAAATAAGATATATATTTGAAATTGAAACGGGAACTTTCCAGCTCTGCCAAAATATACGGGGTGTTCCATAAAAAAAATTGTTCTGTATCTGGAATTTGGACATCCTCTATAAAGCTATATTTTTCAACGCAACCTACTGATTTCCTAATTGAGTAAATTATTGGTCTTATTTCTGTATATCAAATGTCTTGATAACAATGATATCAAATCGAATAATTTCCCATTTTATTTCTCACCAAATATCCATTTATCTGGAAATTACATTCCCTATGAAATTTATTTTCCACATTTGGTAAATATATACAGAGTGTCATTTTCAACCTCGATTCTGCCTGTTGATAGCATTATCCAGAAATATCGTTGATTCCATAGCTGCTGGCGAGCAGTGTTATCATTGGAGATGATCCCACTTGGTCCATGACTCCATGAGTCTATCATTTGTATCTTTCTGACAGTTGCAAATTTTTGAATCCTACCTCAATTATTTTTACAGAAGATACGGGGGTGTAACCGTAAGAAATGTGACACACTGAATATATTTTTGCGAATATATCTGAAATTGTGGAAGGAAAAGGTAGGGTTATAAATATATTTGTAATGAGACCGCCTGGGACTATTCAACTGTGCCAAAATATACGGGGTGTTCCATTAGAAAAAACATAATTGGCTGCCGTACCTTTTCAACGTCACCCTGTATAAAATTTCTGATAATGCCAATGGATTCCACGCATCATACTGTATAAATATACGTTCGAAATTTTTTGATACCTCTCACCGTAAAGTAGTCAGAAAATAAAATCGAAATCGGCAAATTTTCAATTTCCCCCTGTATCTCTGGAACGAATGAAGATATCGAAATTTTGATTGTGCCATTCGAGGTTTCTCCAAAATCGAACCCGGAACATGTATATCGGTTTTTCGATAACTCCTCTAGTTATTGAAATAGACGGTGAAAACGCCCAATTTTGCCCACCCTGTACATCTTTCTTAGGACTAATCTGTTTGTTATTTTCAGAAAAGTACAGAGCTCAAATGAATGAGAACGAAGATTTCTTCAAGTTTCAGGAATCTCAAATAGTTGATGAATCTAAGAGACTAGATAAAGAAAATTATGTTGGTGATATATTCGGAGTCAATGGAACCTTCAAGAAGTTGCAGGTCGACTGACTGATGAGGATTTATAACTACTCACTTGTGAATTGAAAATTGTCTGAATACATTAATTATAACATTGCATTCATTTTTAATTGAATCACATACAGGGCGTTGCAATCATAAGTATAATTGGAACGTATTATAATTACTTTTGAGTCATCAGCTTATTTTTATTTATTTGTTTTCTTCATACTATTCTTATGTTCTTTCGTCCCTACTGAGGGAGGTCTCTTTGTTCACCTGTATAATACTTTCCACGAACACTAGGTATTCTGAATGTACTACAGGTATATCGTATATCGAAATATAATTGTATTTAGTAGGTATACGAAATTTGTTTGTGCTTAGGCTGACCATAGATGAAATGAACCCTTGATCTTTTGTGGTTATATGTGTACCCAGTAGTGCCTGTTTGAAAAATTTATGATTTTTCTAAATGTCTAATCTCTGTTCAGATTCTCCTTTTATAATTTCTACTAATACAATACTGCTGCTAGTTTCTGTTTGAGCTCTTTTCCTAGCGATTTTTCCACTACTGCATTTCCCTCTACTCCGGAATGTCCCGTTACCCATAAAAGGGTGACTGTATTTCTGTTGGCTAGCTCGTTCAGCTTTTCCTGGCACTCCCAAAAGTCCCAAACCATTTTAGAGTTGATAACCATAGAGCTCAGCTGCTTGACTTTGACTAACGGACCTAATAATGATATCTATTGTCTTTCATATAACTTTTTACTAAGTATAGATTGAACTGTATTATTTATTATTATTATTTATTATTATCATTTATTATCATTATTAGTTATATTCCACCTCCTGGATTGAGCTACAGAGAGTTTGTAATATTCACATTGTCCTGCACGGTTCCTTCCGTCAATTTGTTCATACGGTGAAGACATTGGAACCACTTAAAAACTCTCAATAAGTAGATACCCATTCATTTGGAGCACGAACCCATTTTTTTTTACCTTGGCATCATTCCTAATGAGTAATGTCCGAGGATTGCATGTGGAGGATCATTAAAAAAATTACAAGTGTCAGCTTCCGACAATTCTGTTATTTTGAGAAGCAACTAAATTAATACCTATCTACCTTCAAGCTCATCAGTAATAATTACATGCAATTTTAATCATTTTCATATTCAGGCTTCGGATTGTTTATGATATTCTCCATTTGCATGGATAAGTCACCATCCGCTCTAGTTAATTTTTCAACAGCTGGTGATTTTTTTCTCCATTGGTAGTCCAAGTGCAACATTCTGAATCCGATGAAAAACACGTCCATTGTTCCACATCAGGAACTATGATGAATTATTGGCATTCAATCACTCCACTATGCCGTAAGGAACCTAAATTAATTTTTGCACTTCTCACGCTTTTTGCCATGTTCGAAATCGTAGAATTTCAGAGCATATTTCAAACGAACCTTTATGGCCGCCATTTGCCGATACGTCGAATAAATGGTGACGTCAATTCTTATACTGTTTCGTTATTGGTCAGATGATCTTCCATTTCCACTCATGAAGCAAGGTTGCCAAGTCATCAAGTATAATCAAGATACCAAAACGATGTTAGAGTCCTGTCGTTGAATAAAACATAATAGGAGGAACCCATAATGTTATAGTTCAGCAACCAGCATGTCCAAATATTTCTTATTATCCATTACAAAATATCATGTGAATGTACCTGGCAACAGTGTGCTGAATGCTGATAACTGACAAGACCACGCTAACAAGTCGTGCGCCGTGGTTGTCACGTTCACCGATTCAAATGTCCTCTAGTATTATAACCATTGACCTGTTTTGGCACTTTGCATGGAGAATACTCGATTCGCAAAGCAAATAACGTAATTTATACAGAGAATTTAGCTTGTAACTATTGTGATATAACCTACCAACACACCTGAATTTTTGTTATTGTCCAATATTGTCCAGGGGTAGAAAAACGCTTGTAGAATTACCTCACTTGCTGAATGTCAGGTTATGATGAAGCTGTTGTTTCTATCTATAGTGAGAGTACATAGATGACACCATATATCGTAGTGGTCTATCGAAATAAACTCTGAAAATTTCGATTTTTAAAACATTTATAGGCATTAATTCTCAGCGTTCCTAATTAGGAACATGATGGTACCTTAAGAGGTTAAATATAGGGAAAATGTACCTATGTTCCCCCCCCCCCCTATAGAATTCGCCTCATAATTTATTTTATTCCCAGTTAACACTGATTGATTCCAGAGATATAAGAGGGCATCACATTCATGCCACAAATCCCATCTTCGACTCGAATTGAGAGTCCCACTGAAATCACGATGACTGCTTTCCCGGACCCTTTTGGTCCTTTTATGATTCACATCATGATGCCAAATGAAACTCACATTACGTCTAAAGCGACTTCAATAGGCGACTGAGATTAAGATCGTAGCGCCAGAACGGCGAATGTCGGTACTACTCTATGGGCCATTGGCGGATTGTTTACATTGTTTGGTAATAGTGTTTATGTTCATATCGTTTTGAGTTTTCAGACGTCCAGCTTTGTTATTTGTCTATTTTCGAACTTTGTATTTTCCAGCGGTCTACTGTGTTTTGATTGAGGACTATATTATCTCTGTTCAACATTAGATAACCTCCCTACCTCTAGTTGAACTTCATATATACCAACATGCATAGGGTGTGAGTTTTTATCATTATTGAACAATGATTCTCATGAAAACCTGTGTGGGATGTTGATTTCCAATTCGAATATATAGCTGGGATATTCCCCTGATAGTGCATGATATTTTTAAAACAAAATCCAGCTAACTTTTTGGGAATAAAATGTTCTTTGGAAGGTGAATTTAGGTAAACAGTTTCTACTTGACTTTTTACGTAACATAACATTCTTTACTGTTTAAAAATTCTACTGTTCGTGAGTAAAGATATAATCAGTTTGAAATTTGTTTGTTCTTTTACCACCACCTCAAGAAGTAGGTATTATATTCATAATAGACATAAATTTGAAAATATACCTATAGGTATGAGTAAATTTTCAGTGAAGTGTAAAGAACAATATCTCATTATGTTCAGACACTTTACACTTTTTCCAATCTTCAAGTTATGAATCCACACCTTTCTCCTACCGATCACTTCCTTGTTTCCCAAAATTATTAGTTTCAAATACAAATTTAGACTGTCCTGATTTTTTAAAGGAATGAAAGCTATACTCGGTATTTTTTTGCTCAAGATGAACAATGAGGTACACAACAATGATGACTCATGTTTTTAAACGTTTATAGAAGTTCTCAAACAAAATTATAGACAATTAAAACACAACTACTTCTCATACAAAATACACGCAAACTAATGTAAACAAAACAATCAATGGCCCATACGTTAGTTATATTAGACAACGGTAGAGGGAGTACTCCTTAGCATGAATCGCCTATAGACAAGAATGTGAGGTTTCAGTGAGTCTCTTGGTTTTTAAGGAACCTCACAAATTCACGTACATTTTAAGGCCTCCAATCCAATGAAATGTGAAGAATATGGCGAAGGTTTTGTAAAATACGAAGTCTCCTGGCAATACCAATGGTGTTTTATTGTGATTCGCATTGTTACCTAGGAAGACATGGATGTTACATCCCAGGGATGTTTGTGTTTACTGGGTTTACCTATTGAGTTACATCGATTCCTCATCACTTGTTCTCCAATGATATCATTATTCTCACCAATTGAATAGTATCATTTATTAGCATTTTTCTTGAATCTCTTGAGTGGTCCATCATATCCTCATGATGACCCCTTCACAGTTTATCATTCAAAATTTTTATTGTATGAAATATTGAATAACTCTAGATGCATAAAAATGAAAAGAATGCATATAAAACTCAAAATGAAAAAAGAACTCGAACAAATAATTAGCAAACAAATTACTTGCACCGATTGTTGACGCCAGCGAATTCGTTGTGGTATGTACGGGAACGCAGGCGAGTTGACTATTTTTTTTTTATTTCTCAATTAGTATCATCACTCAAATACCTTTCAATCTCATATGCTTCAATAATTTTTTGATCGATTTTTAGGTGCTAAAAGCATTAATAATACCACAGTAATATTCAAACGGCGAGAAATTTACCGCTAGTGTAAACTGACGCCACGATTTTGTAAGTAGAGGCAGACCATAGCACAGCTGCCATATGTTGAAATACGATTACGAATACGAACCCCCAAGAAGCTCAAGAAAAGAAAAGTAAAAAAATCAATTCGATCAATGAATACCCAGCGAGCACAAAAACATCTCAGAGATGTTAAAAGTACGAGATTTCGAGACATTGAACGTCCACTGCGATGTTCTGTTCACACATGAATAGAACTATTATAGAACAGCCAATGTCCGCCGCAGGCGGCAATTATCGAGATGTCCTTGATATGTCACAAAACTACCTTCTCCCTAGTTGTTTTTAAAGCCTTTTCATGGACACAACAAAACATTTTCAACGCGTCTTGCGCACATTGAATCGATGTAAACAAAACATTTTCGAGGTACTTTTCTGAAGCCTTTTGTCAAAATGAACTTTTGCATTAGGATTCCATTTCCCGTGAATGAAAAAATGCATTAAAAATAGATTGAACATAAAAATATTTTCTTGATATGAAATTACCTTCTTAATCGGTTTCTGTGTAGTGCTTACTACACACAGACATATAATTGGAAATAGGTATCCCAAATTTTGAAATGTTCTCTACAATGCATAATTTTGCAACTGCGGAGAAGCTGTGTATTGATGAATTCGTACTTTTATATATTGATTACACTGTGGCACCGAACAACACATCTTGCATCTGATGGTCATCATTACAAACTAAATAAGTCTTCTAACACAATAAACTTCACCAAATTCCTCTCTGTTCGTTAGCAGCGTGATGTAAGCGTGACACGCTGCAAACGCGAATGCCAATTGCGAACAAGAAGAACAAAATCGAAAACAAATCAGAATTCATCGTATTGTGACGTAAGCATGAGACGTTGTGTTGGGGCAAACAAAGAAAGGGTACAAGAGAACAAAAACAATACTTTCAATATCCTTCTAAGACCTCTTTGGGAAGTGCATATTACGCCTCAAAAAAACATCCTCATGTCTACATTTCTAAAACATCCCAAAACATCCCAGGGATACCTCTCAGTAGGCAAACAAAGATATGCCACAGAAGAACAAAAACAACACTTCAATACCCTTCAAAGACCTCTTTGGTCAGTGCATATTACGTCTCAAAATAACATCTTCATGCCAACATTTTCAAAACATCCCAGGGATGTTTGTGCTCGCTGGGTAGCAACCGCCTACTTTGGATATACCGATGGGAATCAGGGCCCCTTTATTACTGCTTGTTCCGCACCTGATACATGGATAGGATCACTAATTACTACAGTACTCATGTAACATTAATGTACCACAAAAAATAGTAATTAATTACCAATGCAAATAAGTATTTATTTTCTTTATACTCGGTTTCATTACCAGTTTCCAGTGACCAGTGCAATAAATACGTAATGAATATACATAAAATCAAAAATGACACTGAAAGAGATTGATATGAATGAAGTTTACAATAATGATCCTGAGCTGAAGAAGGAAGATGTTAATAATTTAAAAGAATGGATCGAAAAACAACCCCACCTGCCCCATGTTTCTGGTGAGTTTACTTCAATTTATTTATATTTATATGAGGTGTTTTGTTACTAATCAGAAATAGTTCATCTAAAGAATCCTCAGCTCAAAATTTAAATATTCAACCCAAACCACTTATGTTTTATTAGAAAATTCATTCAAAAATTATTGGATATAATTTTGTTGTCTAATATAATAATAATAATAAACTTTATTTATGGTAAGTATAAAATTCAACTGCATACAAAACAATAAGAACGAAGTTGAAGTGCGATAAGTACTGTTGTACTTGTTTAGCAAGAAAAGAATAACAGAGGTAGGGAAGATTTAATCAATCTAAATAGACGATAAAATCACCTAAATTACCTGAATATACAATAAAATTGCCTATCTGTGACATTATGCAAAAAAAACAAAATTATTGATGCATTTAAACTAAAATAAAATGTTTTATGAATAAAATGCGGTCAATTTATATGAAATGAATCATTGTCATGCGCATCATAAGGTGCATTAAATTACAATAGTGTTCAAGATTTATTAAAATATTGGTATAAAAAATGCATTGAATGTAGAAAGTTATATAAAAAAAATAATCATGAAGAATGCATACGCGTGTATTGAAATTACACTAGTGTTCAAAATGTTAAAATGTTAGAAATAAAGAGTATTGAAGCAAAGAAGATGATATAAAAAAGTTCGAAAAACATTAATAAAACATGTATAAGCAATTGAACAAATCAATAGATGAAAAATGTTTAAAAATTTGAATAGACAATTAATAAACATATACGGGTGGCCCACGGTCGATGGTACCTTAGACGATTATCCTGAAAATTTGGTAACTCTTTTCACTTTTACCAAAAAGTAGCATCATCTTTGTTATTTCTAATGGAACACCCTGTATTGATTGCGTTTTTAGATTCTTCTCGAAGATCTGATTTCATCAATGTATCTTACTTAGGGTCTAGCAGGAATTATTACAGAGATATAGGGTGTTCAAAATCGAGATTTTTCAACTTCAGGATTTTTTTGTGTCGAAACTATTCATCATTGGTCAAAACGGCTTACATGTCCCTATATTAACTTTTGATTAACTATCTACCGACATTTAATTAGAAAAAATACAGGATGGTCCAAGATTCAGAATTTTGATCACCCTGTATCTGTTCCAATTAAATGTCAGTAGATAGTGAATCAAAAGTTAAGATAGGGACATGTAAGCCGTTTTGATCGATAATGAATAGTTTCGACACAAAAAATTCCTGAAATTGAAAAATCTCGATTTTGAACACCCTATATCTCTGTAATAATTCCTGCTAGACCCCCAAGTGTGATTCAACTCTTCGAGAAGAATCTAAAAACGCAATAAAATACAGGGTGTTCCATTTGAAATAACAAAGATGATATTACTTTTTGGTAAAAGTGGCAACGCTGCATCGCTGAAAATATTTTGAATCGTTAGATCACAAACGCTTATTAGAGTAACCAAATTTTCAGGATAATCCAATGTACCGTTTTCTGTATACGTCTAAGGTACCATCGACCGTGGGCCACCCTGTAGATATATCAAATGTAACGATTATAGAAAATATATAAAATTGGTATTAGTTTGCCATAGGATATTCATTCAAGTAGGTTTATTACAAATTGTGTTTCTTTTTGAATAGGAATAGTTTCAATTTATTCTTGAACATTGGTCTCGCTGTTATGTTTTTCATGTTGTCTTGGTAATGTATTATAAAACTTAACTGCAGAGTAGGAGTATGCCCTTTGAGATATAGGTTTTTTTTAGTATAGTTGGAAAAGTAAGTTGCGTATATAGTGACGTGTGTTGTAATGATGGTTTCTAGATTCTGCTTGAGTTATAAGAACGGTTATATCAGAACTGAAAATTGATGTGAAGAGGTTTACTAATAAATAAGGTTCACTTTCACTTTTTATAAGTCATAGAGTCAGAGATCAGAGAGTTGACTTTGCTATTTTAGAGTTGCAGGTGGCTCTATTCCTTCAAAGTTGCTATTACAGCAACGAAATGGCCAAATACACCACAGACACATATTTCACTGTGAAGACATTATGCCCAGAAATTTTCGGAACTAGAGATCCCTTGAACCCCTTGGTTAAAACTGCTATGGATTGTGTGTAAGTCAAAAGAGTGTTCATGTTTATACCTACATCAAATTTACACAAGAGTGTTTTCAAAAGTGTCTAAACTGTAAAATCGATTTGGTTCGATCAATTTCAATTCATCGCAAGTGTCAACTGCCGCAACTGGTATTTATAGTTATTTTGCTAACAAGTGCGCAAAGTGTTAGGAACAACGTTTTTCCTACGAGCTTCATATCAGATAACAACGAAAATAAAAAAATTTCAACTTAAATTACAATTTATTGAATGATTTTTAGTGAAACTTGATAGAAATAGAAATACAAATATCGGGAAGAACGGTTGAAGGGATAACGGATTCTTATAGTGCATACACTAGTCTACAGCAACTAAAATGAATATAAATGTTCCATACCAGTGAGATTTTTTGGTAATTTACTTATCCGCACGCCGTGCGGATAACACCCATATCCGCACTGAGTGCGGAAAAGTATTACTTTGCGCACGCAAGTGAGTGCGGAAGAGTACTACTTTGCGCACGCTCGAAGGAAAATTTCTTTTCAGTTTCTGAATGTTCGTTTCATTGACTATCGAACTAATGGAACTGGTTATTGCAACTCTTCAGGACACGAGTTTTCAATGCATTCTTTTTAAATTGAGTGAAATAATTGTTTTTTTAGGACCACCCATATTGATCATGCAACATTTCGAAATTTTTGACTACAGTTTGACCCAGATTGGCAAGAACACACAGTCAATAGAACTAAGAGCATCAAATTATCCATTATCTTATAAAAATATTCATATTTCAGTCATGAGAAATTCCAAAATAGTTTCCAGAAAAGAGATGAAGCGATAGGCTATTCACTTAAAAAAAAAATTAGAAACATATTCGCCACTGAAATATCAAAAAGATGCAAAAAATCATTTCCATGTTCGTAAGTTGAGGAAACCGAATATATTCAGAAACTGAAATTGAAAATCGGTTGAGTCAGTCGAAAACTATGGAGAATGAAAAATGATCGAAAAATGTCGATTCTACTTTTCAAGTGTTTATTATAACAGTATGTTAGTGCAAGATGTATATTATAGAACTCATCAGAATAAACTAGTTCGCCAGAAAACGCTTACAACTCAAATGAAATTATTGAAATATACAAAACAACGAAAATATTGAATAATGCATTAATTGTTTTCGAACAGTCAAGTCAAATCGTTTAGTTGGTGTAGCGATATAATAATTTTTATCTACAACCACGATAGAAAGTAGGCAAGAATACACGAGATACAGCCTCAGTAAATAGCTCTTTACGCACAGCAAAGAATTATAATTCAGACTGTTTGTCCAAACTTTTTTGACGTATTATATGGCAGTAGGTAAAGTATAGTACGTATTCGCTCCGCGGCTATACGTGCGTAATTTTTCTATTCGTGCGTAATCTGCTTCTTACAACACGTATTACGTAATATAATATGTTCTACGCTTATAACACAAGATTGCTCCTGTTTTACTGTGTTCGATACATCAATGAGGTACTTTGTATGTCATCAATTTCATTTCCGTATCTGATATGACAATGACTCCATTGTGTTATTATTTCAAAAACAACTCATCGCCCATGGAATGTCAAATTACAAGCAATGACAGCTCTGTCTAATAGATGAGCATTACTTGACAGGAAATCAGATGGATATATACAAGACGAAGAAATCGAAAATGCCGCTGTTGTCTGTTACAGCCGTAGAAAAATTGTAGTGTATAACTCGCACGGAATGCTAATATCCCACTCGAATGATAGTAGCATTCGCCTATGGCTCATGCTGCAAACTTCATTCTCGTAGGAAATCACTATCATTCCGTGCTCGTTAAACAATATACTAATTACGGTGTGATGTGTACATGAAGTGCGGACGCATCATGGCGATTATAAAACGGTAACGGTTACAACTTTGAATTTTTTTTGTGACCAGATGATCGATTGTGCCTTGAAGTTCATCAGTTTGCAACTCTTAAATAAGCAAGCTTTAGTGAAATGATTTTTGGCTAGTTACTTATATCTCGTGTTAGAAAAAAGGCTTCATCTTAAAAACCACCCAATAATGATGGTATATGCAAAACTATTTTTTAGTCAAAAGTGTTTCTTTAATTCAGATGAAATCATGTTTTAGTGTTATCACCCCTTTGCCAAAACTAACACCGGAAAAATACTTGGTGGTGCTGGTGAAAATGATGGATTTCAATCCGGATAACTACAATTTCGCTGCACAACTGAAGTGCTTCGATATGATCACGTTACTACATTTGCATCAGTATGGACCTGCAAAGGGCGTAATCATCATCTTGGATTTGAAGGGAATCGTTTTCGGACATTTCCTGAAACTTGGCGTAGTAGTGATGAAGAAATTTTTATATTATCTACAGGTGAGAAACATTTATTGAGCTGAATCAAGCCATGAAATGTAGTGATGTAGTAGTATATGTACAGGGTCTACACGTATATTTTGAACCCCCTCCTTAACTATTTTATTTATCATGAAATTTCTTTTCCCAGAGAACAGTCTTTTATAGTTTTTCCTGTAGATTTTGAATATGTTAACAGAAAAACAATTGAACATCTCAAAATAAGTTATGGGCAAAATGTATAAATTTTTAAATAGGACACCCTGTATTCTATTGCATTTTTAAATTCTCCCTAAAGAGCTGATTCCATCAATCTATCAGAGTTGGAGTGTAGCTGAAATGATTACAGATAAGAGATATAGGGTGTGAAACATTGATATTTTTTCAACTTTTGGAATTTTTTGTGTCGAAACTATTCATTATTAGCCAAAACGTCCATGTCCCTATCTTGATTTACTATCTACTGAAATATTGGAACACATACAGGGTGAGCAGAATTCTGAATTTTGAACCAGCATGTATTCGCTTCAATTAAACGTCAGTAGAAATTATCTCAATTTTTCACACCCTATATCTCTGTAATCATTTCAGCTAGACCCCAACTGTGATAGATCGATGGAATCAGCTCTTCAGGGAGAATCTAAAAATGCAATAAAATACAGGGTATTTCATTTAAAAATTTATACATCTTGTTCATAACTTTTTTTTTGAGATGTTCAATTGTTTTTCTGTTAACATATTCAAAATCTACAGGAAATATTATAAAAGACTGTCCTTTGGAAAAAAATTCAATGATGAATAAAACAGTTAAGGGGGGGTTTAAAATAAACGTGAAGACCCTGTACACGAAAATATAGAGTGTAGATATGAATAAATGTGAAAAATTCTTGGTCGTATTTTGTGAAAAAAAGTGCATATACAGGATGTTTCCTAACCTCTCTGACAAAATAAGAGAAGATTAGCCTCAATTGAATTTAAGACGAACATGTAGAATAACTTTTTTTCGGGCGTCGCTTAGTTTCCAAAATGCATCAAGGTTTTCAAATTCTGTTTTCAAATCGGTTTTTGATTTCCATTCCAGACAAACTTCACCGAATTTTGTTAGAATTTCAAAACGTTTTTTATAAGGGGCTGATTCAGCCGTGTGATTTCGATATTTTTTTCGGATTGAGTAACTATTGTAACAACTTTCTTATCACTTGTGGTGTTTACGTATCTCGCTTTTTTTTAGTTGAAAAATGAAATATATATTTATTGCATGTCCATGGACCACACAATAACCATGAAAAAACTTGAAAACATTTTTTTCTTTTCGATCGATTGCGACAATGACTTCATTTTAAGTCGAAAATGTAGTAGATATAGTTGTATTTTTGGAATAAATATAAAAAATCGATTAGAAAACAACGTTGAACATCCTGTATTTTGAAAACTAAGCAACATTTGGAAACATTGTTTCTACATTTTCGTCTTAAAATTCGATCCTTTTGTTTTGTCAGAGGTTAGGACTTTGTCAGTCCCGGGCGTGACTGAATTTTGCCACCATGAAAGATTATACAGAGGGATCATAAATAAAATAATTAATATTCCTAGCTTCAACATAATCTATCGCACAATCAAAGAAAGTTAGGAGACAACTTGTTTCCTAAACAATGACAAGGAATCACCTCTAGTTCTTTTTTCGTACTTATTCACTCGCACCCTGTATACCAAAGAATTACATGACTATACAGGGTGAGTCAGACTAAGACCAACAAACTTCGTAATAAGTAAGAAATTCGTATATAGAGTTTGTCGATATTATTCTCACTCAATCTGTACACCACTATATTAAAATTATTCACATGTTATTCACTACATTTCAGGAGGGTATGCCCATCAGGTTGAAAAGTTTGCAATTTTTCAACATAGTTCCGTTTATGGACAAAATATTAGCAATGATGAAACCATTTATGAAAAAAGAATTAATTGATTCGGTGAGTTTTATTTAGGATTTTTCTACTTGAAAACAGCGTTCTCTGAACTATTTGCTAAGCATATATAGGAATTGCGAAAAAACTGATTTTCTAATAACTACCTATGTTATTCAGGTTTCTATGATTTCCTTGAATAAAAATCACAGCTTATTTTATTATTCTTGGGAGATTGAGTTCATTCAAGAAAACATTTCCAGTGATGATTTTCTTTAGTGATAGAAACACGATACTTGGGTGGTGATAAAGTTTCAACAGAAAAATATTTTATTTTTCAGTTGGTCCTACATAATGATGTTAGTACAGTATTTAAATATATTCCGATTGATATATTACCACAAGAATATGGGGGATCTTGTGAATCTTTGCCCATTTTGCAAGGTAAGAAACAAATTCAAATCACCTCTATTATGACTTCCAAAATCTTCTCATCATATTGAGCAAATGGATCTGTGTCAGTAATATATTTTGAAGAAATAACTCGAACTTCAGATCATTGAAAAGGAATTTTCTCAGATATATTTATGAACACAAAAAAACGGATATATATATAAAGAAAATACATTTAGAATTCGCATTCTCAATGTGATGAAAATATTAATTCTTCGGTTTATTCAACAGAAAACAACTACTTTCCTGGCTATATGCCACGACGAACATTGAATTATATCTATTGAACACACACGATAAGAGTTTGAAAACAAAATCTTCTGAAGTAGAGAATTTGCATTCTCTTTAATATGAAGATATGCAAATAATATCACTCTGAATATTCAACAAAAAACAACTACTTTCCTGACTATTTGCCACGTCGAACATTGAATTATATCTGTTGAACATCCAAAAAGAGAGCATTAAAAGTGAAAATCCTCGGAAATTGGAAAAACAATAAGTCTTTTTTTTCTCTGTTGAATAAACCGAGAAAGAATTAATATTTTCATCACATGGAGAATGCGAGTTCTCAATGTATTTCTTCATAATATATATCCATTTTTTTGTGTTCATAAATATATCTGAGAATATTCCTTTACAAGGTTTTCGATTGATTTTTCTGATGAAATATTGCAACTGTAGAGTATCTAATGCTGGACTAATACCGACTTTTTTGCGTTTTTTGAGAAAATGTAAACAACATATTTTAAAGTTGGAGTCTTCATTAAACTTTTGAATACCTGTTCCTCCGTTATCTTAAAAATCTCTTTTATATTATGAGCAATATTTTTGCCAAACAACTTATTTTGATGAGATATAAATTCTGTTTGAAAATAAACCCCACTTTCAGATTTGCACTGTTTATACAGCATACATCATAATCTCGTTTATTCTATATATTTTTCTTATAAAAAATGAAATCGTCAAAGGAATAAAGTCTTTGATCACTGAGAAATTCTCTAACCTTCTGCTTATTTTCATTGGCAACATTTTTGCTCACAATTCTGATTCGCTCCTGGGCAGTTGTCCATCTTGACCCGTGTTTTATCCGTCCTGTTTTTGACATGTGCCGACCTAATTATTTCTGATGACTATTAATTATGAATAATTATGTCAGGTACAAATGGTACAATTATTTAAACATGAGAATATCAATAAAAAATAGGTATATATGTGACGTAAATTCGACTAGCGTTTACAATTCCACTGCTTAATTAACGATTGATTTTAATCAGAATCGAAAGTTTATGGTTGTCATTTGGATTTAAAGAAAGACAACAGAATTTACCTCGGATACGTCTGTTTTGTTATTGACACCAATATCTCAAATAAATATGGATTGATGATGAGAAATGATAATCTTAGTATAATTTGTTTTCAGAAAAGTATAAAGCAAGAATGATCGATAATGGAGAGTTCTTCAAATTCCAAGAGTCTCAAACCGTTGACGAATCTAAAAGACCAGGGAAGCCTAAAAACATTAGTGATGTTTTTGGAATGGAAGGGACTTTCAAGAAACTAGAGGTTGACTGAAAAGGGTTGAAATTACCCATACTATTTGTACTTTGTACCTAATAAAATCATATCTAGATATTTTCATAATTATAGTAATAAATTCGTACTTACATATGAATATTATGTCATGCCTTTCAGAACCTCAGTTTTATCCAGTGTTTTTATCCAAATAAGTATCTCCGTATATAACATAAAAATAGTTATATAAAGGAGGAAGGAAAGCTCAAAGTCATCTCCACAACTTTAATATGAAGTGTTTATTCAACGGGACATGTTTCGAACTTATAAAAGTCCATCTTCAGCCGTATTTAAGAAATTAATGGAGGTGAAACATTGTTTGTTTTAACAAAGATGTCGATGTCTCTCATCATAATGTCATTGATGAAAATAAATAGTTTAAAGGAATAAACGGGTTTTCATTCAAAAATGAAGGGCCCCGTGCCCTGAGAACGCGCACTTATGAATAAAATCACAAGTCAAGTCCCAGAAGGGAAACTTGACGAACACACAAGGTGCTCAAAATAACCATATTGGTGTATTACGGGAAAAAGGGTCCCGTACCCTTGAGAGAGCGCACTTAAAAATCAAAAATCAACCAACAGGTTGGATGTAACACGTTTTTGGCTTTTGGCCCCATCAATTCTAAATTGATTTTCGGCTTCGGTATCTATAGGAAAGTGAAATGTCTACGATGTTCCAATGATATTAAAGAATTAGTGAGTGTGGCATCATCCACCTGGCAATCTTCTCTGGATGGAATCTAATAGCATCAGCGTATATGTTTGGGTGCTGAACCTTTTTTTTATGCACTTTTAGCAATTGATCTCACGTGATTTTCCCAAGAAAGGTTATTACTGATTGTATTATGCCAAGCATCGAAATGGATGTATTCAAAGGTATGGTTACTCCTGACAAGCTTATATTGGGCACAGTGAGATCGGCTTTCCTAGAGAAAAGGCAAGCTTGTGTTTTGTTTGCATTGAAGTCTACCAAGTTATTGGATCTCCATTCGAGAATTGTTGTTATGTTGTCAACATTTCTTTCTCAATCGTTTCTGATTTGCCTGGCTGGTATTGGAGCCCTGGAAGAGAAGGCGGTATGGAGGGTACTATCATCCGCGAAGCTGTGTACTGGACATGAAGTTGCTTCCAACAAATCGTTGATATGGAGTAAAAATAGTGTTGGTGCTAGAATTGATCCTTGCGGAACACCAGCATTTATGATAAGAGAGTCAGATATACATGTGGGAACAGAGTATTCTAAAACAGGCCGTATCTGTATTTTGTAGATCATGAGAAGCAGACGTACGTTGAGATGTAAAGTAGCTTTTCGCATGTAATGAAAGTCCGAGTTTTTGTGAATCAGCTTTCGCGATGGATCTGACATGATTTCTCCATCAAAGAGTTTTGCTGATGAAAATACCGAGCATAGATATGAAGTGGACTTAGCCTATACAGGGTGTTTCAGATTTTAATGTCAATACATACCTATAGATAAAGGAAACTTTGGTGGATCCAATCACTCCCTATCGATGTGTCTTCCATCTTTTATAATCAATATAATATACCTACAGGGTATGTTACGACAATAAGCTTATACCATTTTTATATCGAGAGTCAGTCGGGAGAAATCCATGAAAATGTGCAAGCTTATATTTCAGAATACGCTCTCTTCATTTGAAATATTTTCGACAGTGCAAATAAGCTGATTTCATCGATGTATCGATGAAATCAGCTCTTCAGGAAGAATCTAAGAATGCAATAAAATACAGGGTATTCTATTACGAATTACAAAGTTGATGCTCCTATATGATAGAAATGGCAACAATGCATTGCTGAAAATATTTCAAATGAAGGGAGCATATTCTAAAATATGAGCATGCATATTTTCATGAATTTCTCCCTACTGAATCTCGATATAGAAATAGTGTAAGCTCGTCGTGACATACCCTGTATAGTAAATCATACATAAAATAATCGTTAAAGTAAAACTTGGAAAATCCATGGCCCACTATATAGCCATAATTCATGATGGTCTGATGTTTTAGTGCTTTTTAGGATTTCTGGAAATCCCATGTACAAAGTTTCATACGTCATTTTGAATGGAAACAAATAACGGATTCAACAAAATAATAAAATACATGTATCTCCAAAATCATAACCCCTAAAAAAATTGAGTACGCCAATGGATTCTTCGCAAAATTTCTTGTTAGACGTGGTAACTCAGCACAACCTTATTTCTAATAACTCCGTAGAGAAGCCTGGCAATCTAAACCAAAATGTACATTTAAATTTGGAACACTCTGTATGTCTCTTTGTGAATTTTACATTCCTCGAGAAATTTGCAAGATTTATTCGCTACTTCTGACTGTTAAATTCTTTCAAATCAAAAGAGATTTTTGTAAAAATTATATTTTTAGTCTGTGTTCAATTTTTTCAAACCGTTAGACTTCCGAAAATAATAGTGCCAGTATTCGTGTTCAATTCTTCATCTCATATCTTGTATACTATATATGTTGTATAATTTCATTATCGTCATAAGTCATAGATACATCATTTGTTCGAAAATTAATCAGTTAGCAGCATGACTCAACCTATTATTCATTCATTCGGGACCAGATGGTGAATCAAGACAGTCTTATATTAGATGTCATCACCTACGGTCGAATTTTGTGATCGCAATTGAAAAATACGCGATAGGAATTATTTATCGTTCCAAACGGAGTGTTCACTTAAAAATGAGTACAAGTGTAGTGTTTTTGTATCCCTCATTCACTTCAGTGATTACATTATCGCGATCGTGTGCTGTTCTGGTGTTTCGTGTTGTTTCATCAAAGCTTCGCATTTTTCACGCTGGTAAGTGAATATAGAGATTCTCTGATTTCCTCATATTTCCCTGTTTATATTTAACTTAATTACCTTATATGTTTGCAAAATATGAAACGTCTGTTCGTTGAACGTTGAATACTTTCAAGATAATAATTCGAAACGAGCAAATCAGAAGAAAATAAGACGATTCGAAATTTGTTCATGGAAAAATACCTTTTTCCTATACAGGGTGTTTCAGATTTGAATGTACATACTGAACCTGTAGATAAAGGAAACTTTGGTGGTTCCAATCACTCCCTAATATGGATGTGTCTCCCATATTTTACTCGATCTTTTATATTCAATATAATATACAGGGAATGTCACGACGACCTTACACTATCTTTATATCGAGAATCAGTCGGGAGAAATCCATGAAAATGTGCATGCTTATATTTCAGAATACGATCTCTTCGTTTGAAATATTTTCGACAATGCAGTGTTGCCGCTTATACTAGAAAGTAGTAGCAACATTGACTTTTCAAACGGAATACTCTGTATTTCATCGCATTTTTAGATTCTGTCTGAAGAGCTGATTTCATCAATATATCACACTTGGTGTCTATCAAAAATGATAACAGAGATATGGGGTGTTCAAATTCGAGATTTTTCAACTTTAGGATTTTTTTGTGTCAAAACTACAAAACGGCTCACATGTCCCTATCTCAACTTTTGATTCAGTATTGACTGATATTTGATCGGAACAGATACAGGGTGGTTCAAGATTAAGAGTTCTGATCATCCTGTGTCTGTTCCGAATCAATATCAGTAAATAGTGAACCAAAAGTTGAGATAGAGGGACATGTGAGCCGTTTTGGCCGATAATGAATAGTTTCGGCACAAACAAAACCTCGATTTCAATCAGCTCTTCAGGGGTATTTTCAAATGTATGATAACTTGACATTCATCTGTTGAATAAACGTGAAAGAATTGATATTTTCATCACATGGAGAATGCGAATTCTCAATGTATTTCTTTATATATGTATATATATATATTCATTTTTTTGTGTTCAGAAATATATCTGAGAATGTTCCTTTTCTATACAGGGTATTCTATTTGTAATAACAAAGTTGTTGCTACTTTTTGATCAAAGCGGCAACAGTGCATTGCTGAAAATATTTTGTATGGAGAGAGCGTATTCTAAAATATGAGCATGCATATTTTCATGAATTTCCCCGAATAATTCTCGATATACAGATAGTGTAAGCTCGTCGTGACATAACCTGAATAGTAATCAGGCATAATAATCGTTGAAGTAAAACTTGGAAACTCCATGGCCCACTAGCAAAAATTCATCATATTCTGATATGTTTAAGTATTTTTTAGGATTTCTGGAAATGTATAAAGTATCATTTCGATTGGAAACAAATAACGGATTCAACCTCGGATTCAACTAAATAATAAAATACATGTCATATCTCCAAAATCATAACCCCTAAAGAAATTGAGTACGCCACTGAATTCTTCGCAAAATTCTCTGTTAGATGTAGTATTCATAGTAACTCAGCACAACCTTTTCGTAGAGAAGCCTGGCAGTCTAAACCAAACGTACATTCAAATCTGAAACACCCTGTATGTCTCCTTGTGCATTTTACACTCTTCGAGCAATTTGCTAGATTTTTTCACTACCTCTGACTGTTAATATCTTCCAAATCACTAGAGATTTTCGTGAAAATTATATTTTTAGCATGTGTTTAATTTTTTCAAATCGTTAAAGTTTCGAAAATAATAGTGCCAGTACATCCGTGTTCAATTCTTCATCGTATATCTTGTATACTATATATCTGTTCCTCCTGTATAATTTCATTATCGTCATTTGTCATAGATAAATCATTTTTTCGGAGATAAATCAGTTAGCAGTATATGATTCAACCTATTAGTCATCCATTCGGGGCCAGTGGTGAATCAAGACAGTCTTATATTAGATGTCATCACGTACGGTCGACTTTTCTGATCGCAATTGAAAAATACGCGATAGGAATTATTTATCGTTCCAAACGGAGTGTTCACTTGAAAATGAGTGCAAGTATTGTGTTTTTGCGTTCCTCATATAATTCAGTGATTATATTATCGCGATCGTGTGCTGTTGTGGTTTTTCGTGTCACTTCGTGTTGTATCATCAAAGCTTCGCATTTTTCACCCTGGTGGGTAGAGAGAAATTCTCTCAAGTTTTCCTCATATTTCCCTCTTTCCTCATTACTTTCAACTTCATTACCTTATATGTTTTCAAAAT